CATCCTCGTAATGGAATAGCCTGGGTGCCCACTGCGTTTGATCCACGTCGCACCCCACACCTGTTTTACGAATAAGCGTAGTTCGTTCAGTTATGTATACGGGTAACTGCGATTGAGTGTAGCAATACTAATTGTTCAGAAAATAGGCGCATCTTTCAAGGCCTTGGTACAGTGCTTCAACGTACCGAGCGCCCATGATTTCGTCTCGTCTACTTGCAACCCATCCCTCTCAAAAAGGACCACAAGCGCCAGGAATACAGTATACCATAGTCTTTTCGTCTTCTGTCTCGGAAAGGTCAACAATGGCTCGCCACCACCCCCTACATATCCTTCTTTAACAGCTTCAGAAGGCGCAGGAGGTAAAAAGAACGTCTCAAGAAGTCGATCGCCCCAAAGAGCATGTCCCAGGTTTGGCAGTATCGCGCCAACTTGAATTGCCGGGTCACTCTCGCTAGGCGGGTAATGTAGATATCGTCCTCAGACCCAGTGAACCAAATTAGTGAAGGAACATCTACATCGTCGAACAAAGAAAAAGCGATCGCCCTAGACAGGAACCTTTGAAGTTCTTCATAAGGTGTTCCCAGGTCAATCTCTGCTTCGTGAGCACGCTCAAGAAGAGGCTCGAGCAGTTCGATGAATGTCTGTCCCCAGCTGTAAGATGGTTCCTCTGGCTGAGAGGTAGTCGGACGACCAAACCAGTCGTTCTGCACCCCAGAGTGAAGTTGTCCCAAGAGTTGACCTATGGTTAGGTCAATGAAGACCTTTTGCGGATCTGTGAGGAGATTTTGCGACCGGGCCAAGGAAAGAGGTATAATCGAGCTCGACTGAATTGGCTGAGGAGGTGTAAGAAGATACGGATAAGGAATTATGCTCGTCGATGTGTCGAGAAGCGGTTGCCCAATAGGAATGGACGTTTGCCTGTGGATCATCGTGATAAGCTGAGCGTAGACTTTGAGAGTGTTGGATGGTAAGCAGGAGTAGGTTCCTCGGTGGAAACTGAGATGGTGAAGGTGATGAAGGAAGTATGTGTCGGAGGGCATTCTGCAGACGATGCTAGATCAAGTATGTAGGTTTTGTTGTTCCGTGTACGGCTACGTATACCATGAACATCGAGTTTTTCGCGTCGAATGACTGAGACTAGCCTATATGAATCTTTATTTTGGACTTCTGATATAGCAATAACGCGCGAATACTGCGTGTTGGAGAACGTCTTTGAGATCACCTTCTGTGCGTCTTCCAAAGTAATCGTCATAGTGGACTGCAGATTCTTCTTGTTACTAATGGTCAGGTTTGTATGAAGAAAGTTCACGTACATAGCAAGCAATTGAGGGCGCAAGTGTACGCAAATGAACTTCTAGGATAGAGATGAATGTTAACTTGTAAAACAGATGTGCGCCTATATAAGCGCGCGGACGCATGGTATTCGAATAACTTATTATTACAGGTAAGTAGTAAGTACTATGCACAAGGACAGGAGAATGATAAGGCTGCCTAGAGGAATAAGCTTATCTTAGTACTAGCTAAGTAAAGCATACACAAACGACTTGGAACGTCGATGATGGTGGCTTGGCTTTTCTCTACTTATCTTCAGCTGTTTCTAGGGGTGTCGATGAAAATTGTAACGAGGACTGAGCAACGCTTAGAGTCGAGGATTCGGAGTAGGACTTTTGTGCGGTCACCAGTATGATGATAAGAGTTGGATAAATAGCCTGGAGAGTATTGAAATTAGGACACTGGTGCACGCGATTATGTATAACTTACTGTAAGGTGTGGAAGTAATGTCGCAAAAACATTCCGGCCAGCGAAAGAAAGTGCTCCGGGGTTTGTGAAATTATAGAGGCGATCTGGACTAAGGATGAGAGAGGCAACTAAAAGTGTAACGATATACAAACCCAGCATGCGCAATAGATCAAACCAGACTCGAGTAGGAGAAGAAGTATCTGTTCCACGTCAGATTTTTGTGAAGTGTGGCCCAAATCAAGTTTTATAGTGCGTCTGTAGTCCCTGTTCGGGTCTCAGAGAGGGTATTGCAGATCTAACACAACCGTACTAACCAAGTTTTCATTGTGATAATGACAGTCGCTGTAAAATTGGTAATGAGAAGCATCGTAGGCATGAGTACTCGAATTTTGGTCAAAGAGTTTGCTTCGCCGGTACTATTGGTGAAGGCTTCCAGCAAGACAAAGACAGAATCTAGAGAGACTCCGACTAAAAGGAGGGAAACGTAGTATGCACTCGTCAAGACCAAAAAGCCTCAGCGATTGAGAGAACAGAAATTACCTAGTGACCCAAGTACGCAAAGTCCCAGGAGAATACGAAGGTAAAATCGGTCATTGTAGAGAATCCAAGCTCTCCATACAACGATCACATCGCTAAGAAAATACTTTGAATGGCCATTAACAACCTGTATGGAACTTGCAAGTAATTTCTTACATTTATTCGAGGAAAAATAACAATCAACACCTCCAGTGTACTAAAGCAACTGTTGGGTCATAAGGAGTCGTTCCGAGAGATTTCATGATTTTGAGCTCTGAGACGGTGATGGCAACGAGATTGAGCGTTTGGCCGATGAACATGACTAGATTCAACGCAAACAGAGATGAACGTGCAACAGAGTGCCGTAGGCCTCGTCTACTATAAAATTCTCAGTAAGAATATGTCGTAGGATTCGTAGGCGCTTACAGCAGCATGCAGGTAGCAATGATAGCCAAGACGACATACAATCCTATAACAAGTTGGTAAGATGATACGTAGGGATTACACCGCAAGTACCGTAGAATATTCCGCCAATAGTGGTTGTGATCGTATTCTCTTGAAGCTGGTTTACTGTTTCGTCGTCGAGGCCTGACATTTTTCTGGAGCCTAGTTTTGGCCGAAAAATCATTGTCTAGTGAGCTTTTAATGAAATTGAACCCGAAGTCAACGGAAACACTACAGGGTCGTTGAGAGCCTCAGTACAGCAATCTTCACAAAGCCCAACGATAATGTACCGCTCTTTGTGGACAGAAGTTATATTCGATCGGCTGAACAAGGGATATTAAGATATAATCATGGATTGCGAGTTTCATTGCTGTGTCAGGACAATACAAACCGAGGGTAGTAACAGATGTCCAGCAATTTTTAACTTGAGCTAACGAGCATACACTCTGTCAACATCAAACATACTGGCCTTACCAAAATTGAAACCATTAGAGTCCAAGTCATCTCCATATCCAAAAAAGCAATCGAACTAGTCAGAGATGGTCAGTGAAAGAGCCATACATCACCCGCTTGCGACAGTTGGGCGAACAAGTGAACGTATGTCTTCAAGCAATTGATCCGGAGTAAGCTTGGGCGCTAAAACTCCTCAACAGGCGCTTAAATATCAACATCGATAGCTCAAAAATGTCACTCTCCTTCAAATTATCCAAGTCCGTATTGTCGACTATATCACCTCCAATTCCAGCGGCATACAAATGGGTTACAAAACCAGGACGTGTTATTGGGGAACCTTACGATATGAGTCAAGGTGTACCCGGTACAGCACCACATATGATTCTCCAACAATCCTTGCGTGACACGGCTCTAAGGCAAGATGCATTTGGATACTGTCCTGCGGAAGGTGAACTCACCATCAGGAGCGCACTAGCGAAAGAGATGAAGGTTATATACGGTCTTGGCTCAAACAAAGAGTCAGATCAAGTGGATATTACATCTTCAGACGTTGCGATTACCTCTGGTTGTAATCTGGCGTTTGTTGCAACAATCATGACCATCGCTTCCGCGGAGATGAAGTGATCTTACCTGTACCCTGGTATTTTAATCACCAGTAAGAATATACACCGAATATTTCTCTTTCAGATGTTGGCTCATACTTACTTCACAGAATGACTCTCACACTCCTGGGCGTCAAACCAGTCCCCCTCATAACATTGCCTTCATCTTCCTTCTTTCCTTCTCCTTCCGTCGCCGCATCTTTGATCTCCTCGAAAACCCGTGCTATTGCACTAGTAACACCGAATAACCCTACTGGAGCCATATATAGCCCAGAAACACTCTTCGAATTTGCAAAGCTCGCCCATGAACGGAAAATTGCATTAATATTGGACGAAACATACCGAGATTTCATCGTCCCGCCAGGCATTTCTCCGCATGGCTTGTTCCTAAAATCATCCGAACTAAACTGGCGCTCAACAATAATCTCACTATATTCTTTCTCCAAGTCCTACCGCATCCCTGGACATCGTCTTGGTGCAATAACTGCGGCTCCAGAGCTATTGAAGGAGATAGCGAAAGTTTTAGATACACTACAAATTTGTGCACCCAGACTTCCACAGCTAGCGCTTGCATCTCCATTACCATCGTCACTTCAGCTTAGTCCTACTCCTCCTTCCACTACGCCTAATACACCTAGTACAGAGTTAGATGGGCCTATGTTGGGCCCAATTCCGACGCTTTCTGCTCTGCGGCCGGATATACAATCCACCGCATTGGCTGTTCAAGCGCGACAACGGTTGTTCAAGTCAACCTTAGAGAAGGAGGCACCTAAATGGAAAATCTTGAGCCAAGGTGTGTCTAGAAGCTTTGACATGTGTCTTTATTTTTCCCAACCACCTCGTCCTCCTAGGTGCGTACTATGCGTTTGTCCAGCACCCTTTCCCTGGGCACGGGAGTGAAGAAGTTTGTCGAAGCTTGATGGAAGAAGTGGGTGTAAGGTTATTGCCTGGAGCATTCTTTTTCGACAAGGGTAAGTTTAATTTCCACAACACTGAATTAAGCTTTTAACAGAACTGTGACACGAGCAGTGGACATGAAAGAAAACGACCTTGATAGATATATTCGCTTTTCTGTTGCCAACGTCTCTGACGACAAAGTTGTGGAAGTGTGTAAAAGACTAAAGGAAGCAGAAAGGATTTTCCAGGAGGAATTCGGATGGGAGATATTGTAGGGCATTGATTGGACAAATAGAACCTGAATTTTGCTCACGAAGGATTCTGTAAGGGAAAAAATTACGTTTGCATGGGCCTGACCGGGAATTGAACCCGGGACCTCTCCCATTTATACAACGAAGTTGCGGGTCGTCCCGAAGGGAGAATCATACTTCTAGACCATCAGGCCACGACTAGACGCTCCAGTACAGATTTGAAGTCATGGCTTTCACATTTGATCTTGTTTCCGTTGACCAGCTCGAGAATGCGATCCAACTAGAACTGGAAGGTATGTTGTAGAACTCACTGGGAATATTCACACACCTACATCATACCAGGATATCCTGCAGATGAAGCTGCATCTCTTGAATCATTCCGGTAATGTCTGAAAAGCAATCCATTACTACGAGTCTAAACATGGGCTGTCAGCCTCCGTCAATCTAAAGCTGGGGACCTCTTCCTAGGCGCGTTCATCCCCACATCCGAGCTCATTGGCTTCATCTGCGGTACTCGCGCTCCCGATCTAACTCTCACACATGAATCAATGTTGCATCATGCCCCTCACGGATCCTCTATATGCATCCATTCTGTCTGCGTCTCTACCTCATATCGACGACAAGGAGTTGCTTCGCAACTTTTACTCGAATACATTGCTAGAGCAGAGTCCCTGCAACCAAAAGTAGGGCGGATTTTGCTCATCGCCCACGAGGAACTCATACCGCTATACTCCAAAGCTGGCTTCGAGCTTGTGGGTAAAAGTAAAGTTCAACATGGAATCAGGCCCTGGTATGAGATGCGCTTAGAATTGACAGCTGATGGTCGTTTAACTGAAGCATGTGTCGGCTAGAGAGTATACGGTCTGCAAACACGGTGTTTGTTCTTTCACTTCGAACTACAGTAAAGGGAAGTAGGCAGGGAATTATCGTGTGAATATATCCAACCAATTAAAATCTTAAGCAGGGACCGGTACCGATCCAAGGAGGATAATATGGTTTCCCCGCCTCAAAGTTTCATATTTTTTTAGCCAGCTGATATTATTAGCTGATATTTCAACTTGATTTCAACGCCCGTGTGAACTATGCCAGGCCAACCGCGGGTTTAGTCTGAGAAGAAAGCGATCGAAGGAGCTAGCTGCAGAAACAAAATCGGATCATCTTCTCAGATTGTTGCCTTCCTCACCCCACCACTATCTAGTTCTCATCCTGTCCCCATCGAGTATGTCCCCGCCTTTCCGCGCTGAACACCTAGGTTCCCTTCTCCGTCCTGCCGACCTCCTGGCGAAGCGAGACGCTGTTAATCATAAACAAGCAAAAGCCGAGGAGCTCACGCCTATCGAGGATGTCGCTATCAAAAACATTGTCGAAAAGCAGAATGAACTCGGCTTCAGATCCATTACCGATGGCGAGTACCGTCGACACATGTTCTGGGGCACCTTTTGGCCAGCGCTCAACGGCACGAAAGAGATATACGGCCCGCCTATTACCATGTTTCGCCAATATTGTCCCGATATTTCTGCTTTTTTGGAAGAAGTCCAGATTCCCGGCGAGACTGTCATTTGCATAGGCAAAATCTCACATACGGGGGAGTCCACATATGTCAGTCAGGTTGAGTATCTGAAATCTCTCCTCCCCAAAGAACGCTGGGGCGAAATCAAGCTCACCGTTGCGGCTCCGAATTGGTACCATTTACGGTACATGGAAGGGCAAGCTTATCCCAAGGATGTATATGCGAATGATAAAGAATACTTTGCTGATGTCGCTAAGGCATACCAAGTCGAGCTTGATATTCTATACAAAGCAGGATTGAGGAATGTTCAGTTTGATGATCCCAACTTGGCCTGTAAGTCTTGTCCACCGGGTGGTATCCCAGCTAATCTTGTTTTCCGACAGACTTTTGCTCCGAAAAGATGCTGAAAGGTTGGGAAGAAGACAAAACCAACGTCCTCTCCGCCGACGAGACATTTGATGCATACATCCAGCTCTATAACGACTGTATCTCCGAAGCTCCTTCTGACATGCACTTTGGTGTCCATCTGTGCCGAGGTATTACCTCAAACCGTTCATCTTCTCGTTCATTCGTTCTATAACAATTTTATCAGGAAATTTTGTTGGTTCCCGTCACTTCTCTGAAGGTGGTTACGACCGCATCGCCACTAAACTCTTCCAAAACCTTAATGTCCAGACCTATTATCTCGAATACGACACTCCTCGTGCTGGAGGATTTGGACCTCTCGCGCATTTGCCGAAAAATAAGAATGTTGTGCTTGGTGTTGTGACGTCTAAATTCCCGAAACTCGAAGACAAGGAGGAGATGAAGAGGAGGGTGTATGAGGCTGCAGAGATCATTGCAAAGGGGAATAACGAGACGAAGGAGGATTCATTGAGGAGAATCTGTGTTAGTCCTCAGTGTGGATTTGCTAGCCACTCTGGTGGCAACCTCATTGACATGGTGGGCATGGAGAACAAACTCAAGTTAGTGAGGTCGATTGCAGATGATATTTGGCCTGGGGAGGCATAACATGGCAAACATTTTGTAACTCATAAACGCTAATTATTCTTTTCAATGTAATCAGTGGATCTTCGAGCTCCAATGGCGCAGCCTGGACGGTAGCAATAAACAGAATCCGTACGAGTAGTAGGTCGGAGCTGCAAGTGACAGAGTAAATAGTATGCCTGTAGGGGGACTTGGTTCAGCTCTGTTGCTTTTCCTCATGTTTACGAGGATAGCGTGCAACATGCACTCTCTGATACTACTACTTATCCTTTTTCGCTTCTAAGCTCTGCACTGTACCGTGGCATTCATTTAAATCACACACACCACTCTAAGCCACTGTAGACTGCCACATAGCAGCTCCCCGCGCCCTGATACTACATAGCGTTAGTCTGCGGTATCAAAGAGAAACGCTTACGGGATCACATGACCGTGATTTGTTTGTTGGTCCAGTCCTAAATGATTTTCTAATCAACAAGGCGCCGTTTTGTTTGCCGTTGAAGTTAATGTGTGGTTAGGCGAACACGGGAGTTGTCCTGAAGACAGCGACAACTCCCTGAATAGAGTAGATTAGCACGGAGCTAGGTATAGAGGTATAGGAACTGAGAGCTTGAACAGATGTGATGGTGGCGAGTGGTAATGGATAGGTGATTAGTTGTCGCGCTTGCTGAAGAGGAGTGCGGTAAGCAATACTGGATGGTTCCGAATATAAAGCTTGAAGGCAGCAGAGGCCCATCGTCCTGTAGCTTGAATGAGCTCAGCAGGAGTTCCCAGCTGTGCGAGAAAAGTTGCACCACCTGAACGAAGGGAGTGGCCTCCGATGTTGTTGCTGACATATTTCCGGAGATGTCGGAGGAACCAAGAGCGTGTTGGGATGGAGCCATCCGACTTAACCCAGAGATGCGGTAAAGCTGGAAAACACTCGTCTCGTGCAGCAACATATTTTTTCATAATCTTGGTGGGGCAATCAGCTTCGTCTCTCGCTAGAATCATGATCTTGCATCCATCAAAAGTACGATCCACCTTGTGGGTGGGTAGAGTGAATTCAATGTGGTTGTCATCGGCGGTGTAGGATGAGCATAGACAGACCTTACGAAAGGTGCGGAGTGATTTGTTGTCAGGCCACACTAATTCGCCTAGGCGCATGAGAGCAAAAAATCCGATGAATAATATAGCAAGAAAGAGGAGATCATCATAAGACAATGAATCATGTAACTTGCCGTGAATTTCTGTAAGTTCAGTTCGGTGGAGAGGACGTTTCCGGGTGGTCGGAGATGCATGTCTTTTTGCGCAACCACGTAATGTTTTCTTGACTAGAGGATGGCCGCGAGATTGGCGGACTTCTGGGTAGAAAGACTCGAGCTGATTGCAGATACCTGAAAGATAGCTGGGGACAGATTTTGGGATGAAATGGTGCATGTAGACGATGTAGAATGATAGTGTTTCGGGAGTGGGTTCCACTGAGAGATCGTGGTTCCGACAGAAGGTGACATACGATTGAAGTGCAGAGCTGTAAGATGCACGTGAAGAAGGGTCGAGTGTATAACCCAGAGCGATGTTGCGTTCATGCAACAGACGCGCATGGCTCCAGACAGGGCGGATCGGCTGTCTGGAGGAAGCGGGTGGGAGATTCATTTTTTAGCTGCCCCCAGCAGCAATTGAGGGGGTTGAAAAGGTGTAATTATCATGGAGGGAGAAAGTTCGTACACTTTCTCATTGTTGAAGCGGGAGAGAGCATCAGCGATAGAGTTTAATTCACCGGGGATGTGGCCGATGCGGAACTGAATGCCGGCATTAAGGGCGTGTTCGACGGTGGTGATAAGAAGCGAATTGTACTCTTCTTTAGCTTTCAAGGAGTTGAAGACGTCGACTGTATTAGTGTTGTCCGTGAAGACGAAAATGCGTTTCAGAGGAGGGTTAGAGAACTCAATGGCGTATAGAATGGCAGAGACAATGGTGAGTGCTTCAAAATAGAAAATGGGGTTTTTGGACTCATCAGGGATGCGATATTGATATCCTAGGACAGTTTCCCTGGATTTCACCCAGAAGCCCATACCAGACAGACAAGCGTCTGTGTACAACACAAGATCAGCTTCGTCGGGTCCCCATTCTTCAGATTCCAGCAATCGAATGCCACTAGAATTCTTGATGTGAGTACTAACCCATTCAAGCTGTTGGCAAACAGCGTTATTGATCCAGATCCGCTTATCAGGTTGGTCCTTGCCCGACATTTTCTCGTACAACGCAGAAAGGCCAGGGCGAAGGAGTGGGTAAACGTTCAATGCCCAATTTACCCAACCACCAATTCGCTGAAATTCCCGCAGTTCCCAGCGTTTCCCGGCACAGCAAATTCGCGTAAAGCAGCTAGGAGATCTGAGTGCGAGTCTTCAGGCATGGTGATGGTCATGGCGTTGGGGTCAACTTCAAAACCAATGATGAGGAGGGTATAGCCCACAACTGTTTAGGTTCATCATGTGGTATACCGAGTTTATCCCAGAGTAGCAGGAGCTGAGTCTGTTTTCTAGGGAAGGATTTGTTATATGGAGGGTAGAACTCGAAGTTATCATCAAATTCCCAGCTGAAAGCATCATCCACATAACCGAAAATATCTGATAGCAGTAGGACAAATATTGCAATCCAGAGGACTAGGGCAAAGAAGTTACCCCATATCCCACCAGCACCTCGATTACCAAAGTTATT